AAGCCGGAAAATTATTTTTTCCCCCGTGTTATCCAGGCAGCTGCAATGAAAAACGGAACCTCGTCGCTTTTAACGAAAAATACTGGGTTTTGAGGTGGTTGGATGCTATGGGGGTTCGCCCTGGCTGGTTGGTATGGGGGCACCCAGTGCTGGTATCACCCTGCTGAAATCAGTGCGGGGGCTAGGGTCGGGACCTTGTGCCCTGCCGAGGCTGGACGATCCCAGTTCCCATAGAGAGAAGCAGATTAAACACACAAAAAAACCGAACCCAAAAACCAAACCACAGCAGGTTCTGACTACCTGGCCCAGAAGTGGAGGGGAGCACAAGCTTCTTGCACTGCCCCATCACCCTGTTCGGCCCAAGGATCCGGCGTGCTTTCCCTTCCAGCCAGCATTTGTACCCAACGTGCCATTAGCAACCTCACCTGACGCTCGGCGGCCACATGGTCAGGCATTGGGGATGGTTATAGAGATTTTTTTTTGATACAGAGGTAGGGTAATAAGACTGGAAGCCTCCCTCTGAGGCTTCACATTAAATAAACCCTCATTGTTTGCACAGGGCCCTTTACTCTGGGCTCCGTTCGTGCTTCCAAAGCTCCCAGGCAAAGCAAGCACGTCCCATATTGCCCCCCGGCCAGCTTTCCTCGCTCCTGCAGCTGGAGCTGTTAAAGACGAAAGAGTTTCAAGGTGCCGAGTCAGTTTTCAGCGCGGATGAGGTCCCTCCCTCCACCAGCCCCACTCCCTTCCTGGCACCCCCAGAGTGGGGCAGGGGGACACAGGACAGGCTCACGAACACAGGCATCACGACAGGCAGCGCCCAGCTAAAAGCTGAGCCTAGGTTTTAGGAGCAAACCCCTTCTTTCTGTGTAAACCCGGCCAGAAACCATCACAGGAAGGGACAAGGCTGTTGCCTGCAAGAGGAATTCAGTGAGAGAAATGGGTTCTGTGCCAGACCTGCCCTCCTACCTCCATGCCCGTGCCTTAAAACGTGGCTTTGGGGAAAAACAGGGAGAGGCAGCCAGTATTTCATGAATGCCAACGCGCCCATTTTCTCCCAAATCAGTTTTCCCTGTGTTTTCTCTCCAGCCCAGCGTGATGCCTCCATGCCATGGCAGGTTCCGCGCTACCTGCAACTGGTTTTAGCAGAGGGGAATTGGCGGCTGCAGTTCCAGCTCTACGGAACAGCAGCAATCGCGTGCAAAAGCTCAGCCCAGCCTGGCTCCAGCTGTTCCCTAGCTCAAACTCCGGGCTTCTCACCGCCCTCCAGCAATGTGTTTATTCACAGCAGTGCATTTCTTTCTAAAGATCTGGTCTCAGGGGGCAAAATCCCTTCTGTGTACAAAACCAGTACCCACCAGCTCAGGCATTGTCTTCCGGAGCCTGCAGGCAGCCTGAAACAATAGGGGTGTGCGGAGCGTCCTGATACATTTCCATTTTTGGACTGTGATAAATCTGAAACGCAATAGTAACAGCTCTAAAAATGGCCCATGGTAATTATCTATTTGGGAACTGTTTTGGTATTCAGCCATCACACACAATCCCCAACAGCCTCACATCTCCCTGCATACCAGAAGATTCATTTAACACCTCCAAAGTGGACAAAGCCTTCAGGTTCCCCTCGGAAACTTTCAGACATGACCGTGGGCTGGAATACAGACATCAGCAGCACGAAGGAAATGGGAAGTGCGCTGGGGAGGGGCGGCCTGGAAACCCCTGGCATTTGGTGTAAGGAACAAACCAGGGACCAACTGCGTTGTGTTTCATGTACAACTGAACCCAAACCGCAGAGTTTTTTAAAATGCAGCCCACACACCCAAAATACAGCCCAGAGCCCAGGGTTAGCCAAAATCACTGGACTTCACAACCGACAGCCGCTTCCCATTTTTGGGGTTTTGCTGACACCTGGTGTTTTGGAAAAGATGCTGTTATGTCCTGCAAGTCCCTTCCCTGGCTTCTGTTGGGCTGGCCGCTCTCTGTCAGACAGATGTGTGATGGCAGCTAATCCCCAATTTGGGGAAGAACCCAAGAACTGCGGGTATGCAACTAGGCTTCAGAGGCACTCCTCGCCATCTCCGGAGAAGCGCAGCAGTGTTTGCAGCACGCTGCGTTACATTCCTGCAAACCTCAGGGTGTAGATGGACGCCTCCAAACTTCAGGAGTCAGAGGAACTGCAGGGGGGAATCTCAGGTCTCATTTATTTTTAGATAATGAATTTCATCACAAGGGAAGACGAGGAGATACAAACCCAAGAGCTCTCACTACAGGGGCTGCTCTACCCAAGGCAGCCATTTAGGAGTTGGCAGCCGGGCACAAGCCGTGTCCCCCAGGCCTAGTGCTGGGGCCAGTTCTGTTCAATACCTTTATCAATGATCTGGATGAGGGGATTGAGGGCACCCTCAGTCAGTTTGCAGATGACACTGAGCTGGGCAGGAGTGTGGATCTGCTGGAGGGGAGGAGGGCTCTGCAGGGCGACCTGGCCAGGCTGGATCCATGGGCCCAGGCCAATGGTGTGAGGTTCAACAAGGCCAAGGGCAGGCATGGGGAAAAGGGGCTGGGAAGCTGCCCAGCAGAAAAGGACCTGGGGGTGTTGGCCGACAGGCGGCTGAATATGAGCCAGCAGTGTGCCCAGGTGGCCAAGAGGGCCAGCAGCATCCTGGCTTGTATCAGGACTGGTGTGGCCAGCAGGAGCAGGGCAGTGACCATGCCCATGTGCTGGGCACTGGTGAGGCCGCCCCTGGAATGCTGGGTTCAGGGTTGGGCCCCTGACTCCCAGAAGGACCTGGAAGGGCTGGAGCGTGTCCAGAGAAGGGCAAGGAAGGTGGGGAGGGGTCTGGAGCTCAAGGCTGCTGGGGAGCATCTGGGGGAGCTGTGGGTGTTGAGCCTGGAGAAGAGGAGGCTGAGGGGAGACCTTATCACTGCCTACAACTGCGGGGTCGAGTCCCCATCCCTGGGGGTATTTAAAAGCTGGGCAGACACGGTGCTTAGGGCCAGGGTTTGGTGGTGGGATGGCAGGGTTAGGGGAACAGCTGGGCTTGGGGAGCTTAAAGGGCTTTGCCAACCTCAATGATTCTATGGTTCTATTTCAAGAAGAGCTGGCACACCAGGGCCAGGGAAGAGCCCCGCTGACAAACACACTCACCTTGAAAGCTGTAAAGAGCTACCAGCACCGAGACACCTTTTGGTATGTGATCACGCTTCCTTTTGTGCCAAACTCTTCCTCTGATGGGCGCTAGGAAGATTTGCATCTGCAAACTAGATCTGAAAATAGAAGCCACATTTGGCGAAGCTTTTCCTGAATTCCAGTGTTGGAAGCTCAAGGACTTGATTACTTCATTAAGTTATGGCCCGATAAGGAATTTCGCATCCTTTTTTCCTTTGTTGTTGCTTTTAAACCCTTTTCAGAGTACAGACTTTGCGAAACGTGTCCCACCTCTACGCACCAATGTTGGTACCTCCCAGACGCCAATGCTGATCTCTAAATAAGGGCAGTGGCTCCCCCAGGAGCAGGAGGCACTGGCTGTCCACATCCCCTGCCACCAGGTTTGCTGAAGCTCTTCCATCTCATTCACTTCAATCACCTCAGTTCACCCATTTCCACCTCATTCCAAACCCCCACCCACATTCGATCAGTTATGCCTCCCCAAGTGAATGCTGCCGCAAACAAAATCCTAGAAAGAAATCCACCATGAGGATTAAATATTTACAGCGCAGACACGCAAGGAAAACATAATATGCCAATAAATAACAAGAATGACGTGGCCACGCTCCTGCAACTCAAGCGGCCTTCCACACTCCCCTATGGGGTCCCTCACTGACCCCTCCAAGAGATAATTAGTGCAATCAGCTCTTCCAAAAACCCCACAAAGGTCTGGAAAACCCCATGTGAAAATGGTCAGTAGTGCACATCCCCTCCCACGGAACAATCACAGCTTTCTTTCAAATTGTTTTACAGCCTCAGTACTTTCAAGTTTCTCACTGACGCTTATGATGGCATCAGCCTTTCCGTGTTATCACAATACAAATACTGATCATTTGGGGGCAACGATTTGGAATTTCAAAGGTCCTGAAGTTTCTACTAGGAAACTGAGGCAATTACGTAGGAAAGAGAGCCTGATTCGAAGCAAACAAAATCACGTTAATGCCATTTTTTGGCCTAAAAATCACAGAAGTATTTCCCATCCCGTTATGCACAGTTTTCGAACAGGCTGTCTGAGCGCATTTTAACAGGCTCAGCTTACAGCTTTGTAAATAATTTTATACCCTCTTCTGGAGGATGCGTGTTCTTTTATTGGAACACCCTGTAGGTGTTGTAATCTTGATTAAAGATAATTAAATACTCTGCAGGCTTTCTGAATGCCCGAGCAGATGCATCTCATTCACTCGAAGAGCGTTGCAGTGCTTTTACACCGAGAGCGCTGCCTTCTCAGTGGCGATGCTTTACAACTCTTTGCTTTCCCACACGATAAAAGCTCATGAGAAACAAAACACAACTGAGTGTTCACACTTGGTTCAATGCAACAAAGGAAGACCTAATGGTTACAGTTTCTATTTGCAGGAACGGGCGGTGGAAGACAGAGAGCAATTCCTCATCAAGCAAGGGCTCTTCTTTGCTAGTGGAAGGAGAAACACAGCCTTGGATCTTGGCTTGTCAAATTCTCAGCGAGGCCCTTGGGCACCGGGTTGTCCCACAGCCTATGACGAGAGCAAACATTACTGCAGGACTAGGTGGGGTAAGCGAGGAGGAAGCACGCTGACAACAGCAGAAGAGGCAGCTTTGGGTTTTCATCAAAGCCAGTCTGACAGCTAGACAGGAGTGAGGTATGGCCATCCCTCAGCGACACAGCAGCAACCCAGCATCTTCCCACTGGCTGCAATGGACCCCCTTACCTAGCTGGGGAGAGCGAGCAAGGCTTTGAACAGCCCCCAGGCCACTAGGATCTCAGAAGGGGGAAGAAGAACTGAGTTACAGACATGCAGCCTGATTTATGGGAGCCACCCTTCTTCATCTACCCCGTTTGGTGGAGTTGACCCAAAAGCTTCCCATGCTGGGCCTCCACCTTGTGAAGCAGCATGCCCCGAGGAGTCAGGGGGACTGTATGCTGTGCTGCACCCACTGATCTGAGCAAGCACATGGGGGGCCCATGCCCCAGCTGGGACCAGAAACATTCCTCAGGGGTTGTTCTTGGGCTGCTCACACTACTGGGGAAGGCAGACCCTCTCCTCGTCCAAAGAGACAGCTCAGGTAGGAGCAGACGCTTGGCTGTGGGACCTCTGCTGCCAGAAATTTATCAGATGCACTCTCAGAAGGGTGACTTTTCAAATGAGTGAAGCATGAGTGGGTCTCACCTACACGAGGTTTCTAGTGGAGTTTGATGCACAGGGTTTGGAGAAGCAATGAGAAAGAATGGGAAAAATCAGGTGTCCAAGTATCTGCAAGATATGGATCCCAGGACAGAGTGGGACAGGGCAGGAGCGTATCTCAGAAGCGAAATCAGATGTAATGGGAGAAAGAAAACTTATAGGAAAAAATGCAACAAACTTCCTGGTGGGGACACGACACAACTGGGCCTTCAGTTTTACCTCATTTAAAGCCAGTACGCTTTTCAGTCCCTTTTTCCCAGGACTTTCTGAGGGGGTGGAGCTGGCCTAGAAAACCCTCAGCTTATTTGGCTTGCATCTGTGTCCCCCGCAATATCCTATTCCATGCCAGCTAACCCAGGGCAGCAGGCTGTCCCAGGACTGGTCACTTCAACCTCCCCTGGCTGAGCCGATTCCCAGCCATGACGCTCCATGATACCTGCTCACCTTATGAACTGAATTTCCAGGCACTTGGCAAGTTCCTCTGCTAGCTTTGTGGCCCCACAAATGCCAATGCGATTTTTCTCCAGACTGTTTTAGAAACAAAAAGAGGGTTTTAAAATCCAAAACCAAATCAAGAGTGGAAAAGAGCTGAGCAATCACTGGCTCCTTCTTCTGTCCTAGAAGAGCTACGCTTTTGCACAAGCACAGCAAGGCCACACAACTTACATCAGCCCCACCTTCATGACTGTGGCCCTATTTACGCAAGGTGTCTGTCTGTGCGTGCACTGCTCCCCATGACCTCCTTCTAGCAACAGGATTTGTAAGCGGAGCTCTTGCCCTTGGATCACTCTAACAGATCGCACTGTGAGCTCAGTGCCAAAAAATGCTAGTGACAACTCCTCTTGCCTCAGACACAAACCTCCTGCTTGCACCAGTCCAACAGCCAGGCTCTACTACGTAGTTTCCCTGCCCGAGACAAACAAAACTCAGTTCCTGACCTTATGACCCACAGACTAATCATAGAATCCTAGAATCCCAGGTTGGAAGGGACCTCAGCGATCATCTGGTCCAACCTTTCTGGGCAAGAGC